TCCCTGAACCTGGAACAACCAACAATCGAAAAAAAACCAATACCAACAACAACGAAAAAATTCTCATGGAGTAATCCGAACCTCCCCTTTTTGAGCGGTAAGATACGACCTCTGATTGTATTTCACGACGGCGTAAGCTGTCATCAAGAAAGTTCGCATCGGAAAGATTCATTGAACACTTTCATTGCAAGCTGTTTATTTTGTGAGTAGTACTTTCCAGCTATGTTTAATTCGTCGGAGTGTCTTTTTTTCTGTCCGCTCCTCTGAACTATAGCAGAGTAATTGTGCTGCAAAGTACACGAACACAGTACATGAACACGCTTCCTAGAGTACTGTTCATACTTTGCAGCACGGAGATTCTGGCTTCTGCGACCTGACCGTGCTCCACTGATAGCTGGGCCATTGTGAACGATGAAGAGAATCATGAGGCTTCAAGCTGCGCCCGTATGCTAAGCCTCTTCGGCTAATCGATCTATCAGCAATAAGTGCTAAGACAGGTTCGCTCCCTGAGGGGAGGTGCAGATCGTGCAAACGATAGGCCTTGTGACGGGGCGTGGATTGGAGCGCACGCAGGACGAAATCACCCGCCTTTTCCTCGTGTTGCCGTTCTGAGTCCAGAGCAGTTGGCGGAAAAGCTCCCTTGGCTACGTTCCAGGTCAGGCCCCTTCAAACGTCCTACCATTTGCAGCGATCATGACTGTATAGCATATGGATCCAGATAGGAATATCGCTGGAGCGCGCTTGCTCGCAATGGCGCGCGGAAGCCAAACGAGACATGAAGTATGAACACGACCCGAAAGGCGTGGACGTCAAAGAACGGCAATGCGCTGTCTCTCTTGTCAAGCACCTTCAGTGATGGAGTTAGGATACCTCCTGCGCTGCAGGCCCGCCGTCTACAACCATGTTTCCTGCAAACGATAGGAATGCGCGATGGGATGTGAATTAGAGCACAGCCAGGGCAGCATTTCCCACCAGAACATGCCGCTCTGGTTGCCCTATCGCTTGTAGGGACCGCGACTGTAGCCACTCCAAGGAATCCAACCTCAGGTAAGTGTGACATGTGTCCTTGAAAGTTTAAAGGTTTCCGGGACCCTCCCCTTGGCGCGGTTCTACGACGGGGGCATTTTGCACTTTCGCTGCTTCACTAATTCCGGTTGAACAAGTTTTTATCTGGTGAAACCTGTGGGCTTTTGTGAATCTGGAGCAAATTCGTCTAGCCGCTAAGGTAGAACCTTTCAACTCTTGTGAACTAACTGTGAGGCTCTCTAGAAGGATCAGCACGTCAATGGCAAATAGCAAAAGTGCAAAATGTCCCCCCCCCCCGTCGCCAAACTGACCCCCTTTCCTTTCTTCTAGAGCATAGTTCAAACGCGCCACTCACCCATCCAGCTTAGAGATGACGATGAAATCGCGATCCTGAGCAGTTTTCGGCACGAAACGAATACATGTCTTCGTCTGATAGCCAGCAATTGCTCGTGCTATTACTGCACGCTGCTTTTCCGCTAAACAATTGCCCTGAGCGTTGAAACGACAAAACTGAACAACATTGCCACCTCCTCCGAAAATCTGGTAAAACCTACTGTAGGCAGCAGATAGCACATAAGGAATTCGTCCACCGGGCCATTTGTCACTCGCCGACGCTACACCAACTCCGCCTGCACGTTTCAATCTCTTCAAAAAAGTATACTGTACAAAAGCTCATAGTAACGATGTCAGTAAAGTGTGAGGTTTATCAAAGCTTATATGTAGAGCAAAAAAGGGGAGTTCCCTATAAACGGGACACCCGCTGCCTAATCTCCGAGGCTGTTCTAATCACGAACCTTTGTAAGAAATCGTTGATCGTTGTAGAGAGGCCTCATCCGTTGACTGACTGGAAGAAGGCAGCATTGCGGAAATCCTGTTCAGTGAGGTACGTCAAAACTGTCCGGACGTCTTCGAGACGACGACGATGGCCAGGAGAAGTAACACTGACCATATCGTCGCCGTCATACGGCCCCTGCAATGTGGATAATATTTGCAAAGTTTTGCTCGGTATTTGAATAATGGAATCGCTAGTCTGTTCGGACATTGGACGGCACGTGGTAAGCGCAATTTGTTTTTGATTATTGATTATTATTCGCGTTGTAACACAAACAGGAACAACACTGATTATATAGCTTTGGTGACGGATAGAATGAAACTAGACAAAAAACAAAAGTGACAGAGTGCCTAAAAGGGGGGGAGGCGGTGGGGGTAGGTAGGTAGGTTAGGAATCGTGACCGTTCATTGCGTATAATCTTAAGTCAATTGTATAAGTTAAGTCAGCGTTGTTATCGTTTGATTGTTCTCAATTTGTACCCGCATGAGTAAAATAGTGGACAAATGGCAAGAGGACATGGTAATCCTCTTTGCGATGCAGAGTCTGTATCCCGCTTGAAGTCACAGCGTTTCCTTCTTCCGTCCATGGTCGATAGTCTACGGTCATAACATCGAAGCCGTGGCAAAGCGCTGAGAGGCTGCTCATTTGCGTTACCCGATTGTGTTGTTCTGCTACTTTGTCAGACAAACCGTCTACTTCGTCGTTCTGCTGGTTGCTCATTTGCAAACCTCAACACTCCAGTTTGGTACGAATGTGCCAGAAGGGAAGCGTCGCAGGAGCGCTTTCGGAGTAGGTCGGGACAACCTAAGTGACCCGCCTGTGACTGCGCACCGTGGAAGTATCGAAGCCACCCCCAAGCAGATATCGTGGTAATCAGTCGGGGCGGTGCCAATAGGTGCGGAATCGGCCCGCCTCGGGTGCCTTGCTCTACCATTGTCGATCGGAAAGTGATTGAGAATGAAAGCTTGTGTGCTAGGAGAACGCTCTGGGCTATCTCCCGCTCATGACAACATCACCTACTTAATTGTGACGAGTGGATGAGCTGGGATTCTAGTTCTCCGGTATAGACTTACAGTCATTGTTCATTCATTACAGTACAATGGATGCCACTGGACCAAAACGAATTTCTGAAGGTGTAACAAAGAAGTGTTAATTTTGTTTAAAATTTGCTAGGCCAGTACTGTCCAAACGAGTGCATCATAGAACAGTTAATAAACTTCTTAATATCCGTATGTCATCATATTGCAAATAGCCTGGCTCGCATGATTGCCGCTACTCGGCGAGCATCCCTGAAGACTTTTCGACCTCGGCAGGAAACATTGCCACCATCGTTCCTGCCCTGTTTGGAGCGAGAGTACCGAATTGGGTGGTTCAGCTGGCCGCTCTAGTCTCAGATGGTCGTGCATTGCCACTAATTCTATGAGCAGCAAAGTCAAATTAGAATCCAGAAAGCCACGACGTTTTCAAATGGAAACTTTATATGTGGTGCAAATCAAAAAGGGAGTGAACAGTGCCAAAAGCTTCCCACCAGTTGTATTCCCTATCTCGGCGGATTTGCCAAAGCACAGGGAACCCGCTCGAATTAACCCATATCTACACTTTAGTTCGCTGCGGACGGTTGGGCGTGTCAGCCAAAATGAGTGTGTCACCCCTTCAGAGCCGTTCTCTGCCTTCTCCTGTTGGAACGCGCATGCGACAAAAAGTGGTAGAAAACGAGTAATACGAAGAATATGATACAGTATCGTCACTTGCCCGCTTCAACAACTGGTGCAGAACGAGTGCTGCACCGCGTCAAACGCAGCCGCACTGACACGCCCAATCGTCCGCAGCGAACTACACTATAACCCTATGCCTAACCGAGCTTACATGTTCACAAGGAGAGGAAAGGGCGCGATCGGACGAGTTCTCACTTGTTGGTGCCAACTCTCCCTCCTTATCACCTCTTGCTCACCGCTCGTGATGGAGAGATGATAAGGAGAGCTAGTAGCGGATCAGTCGCCACCACATGGCCTTCAAAATAAAAGCCGGCGTTGCCGAGTGTCTGTGCGCGCACTGTAGTCCCCGTTTCAAAAGGGTCGCGCTTCCCGGGGAGAATTTTTAAGCTGCAAAATTTGGACATCTTGCCAACAAGCCTACCTGGCCCAACGAGAGCCTCTGAATATCAAATTACGCGAAGCAGGGCTTCAAATTGTTGCACGAGCTGCTGACTCTTCCCAGGAAAAATGCAAACCATTCAGAAAGGGAAAGTCCAAAAGGCAGCGAATAATATTAGCACTTAATAGAAAAATGATTGAACATATAATTGAAACCAGAACCAAACATAACCAGAAACAGAAGAGAATCGCTAGTAGAGTTCAAACGTTCACATCGAACAGTTCTGTGGACAATTTTGCGAGATTACTATTTTATATACTAATCACTGATAGCATCATTTACCTATTCACATAAATTGCGAGTTTTCTAATGGAATGTCATCGAAAGGTGGTGAAGTGACTAACGATAACGCGAAGCATCGCTCCTCGACAGTCTGTAGAACCGAGCCACTTTCGAGCCTGCTGGGTTTCAGATCTTTCCTATACTGGACATACTGGTTCGACCAAAATCAATGGTTGAAACTGAGGTTGGTTGCCTAACCACTGCTGCTGCGCAAACTGCATTTTAATCGCTTGTACATAAGATTTCAGTCATGGTGTACATTGCTCACTGCACAATGACCGGTGTGAGGAAACTACACACGTCGCGGCGACGAGGTGAGGGCCGCAACATGCGCGCGACATTCGCTTTGAAGTAGGGGATAAGGAGGGAAAAGGTAGCAGCCTCAGGATACTGCCGCTTCTCAAACTGACGAAGATTCTGAAAAGTTAAGTACGCTAACAAAACTACGAATTCGAAGCTTCAAAATGCTGCTTTCCTTTTCATATATAGTCCGCTTAGAAGGTCACTGTTATCTTCAAGCAAAAGTAATCCCACTACCCCTAAAAACGGTGTGTTCCAACGCGAGTGAGCGCAGCAATTGCGACACTTTTCCCTGTTTGCAGCTGTTTGCCGACTTATGAAAATAGGTGCTGTTTCTTGCTTTTATATTACTTCGTTCTTTCTTTTAATTTTTTTATGCCATCGTTTTTGCCGTGCTTGCCATACAGTCTTGCTAAAGACTTCTATGCACTTCGATGCAGTACCTAGTTCACAACTTACATACATAGCTACTCTATTTCTAGTATTTTGCCGGTACTGCTGCACCGCCGCCTGGCTTCTTCGTTCCTTTTTTCTCCATTAACTGTCTATACAGGGGGGGGGGGCAAAAAAGTCACTTCGACCGAGTCACATATCAGCAAAGTTTTCGCAGCCCAGACAGAGGACGTGGATACGAGTACCAGGGCGGAAGATACCCAAGATGTTCCTCGATAAGCAGGAGCTGGCTCTCGCCCATCACCTTCATGTACACCAAAATATGAAGTCATCTCCAGTCGCAGCCTGACTGGAGAAGACCTTTGGAATTCATGTCACCTCCAAACAGCTGCGAAACTTCTAGTATGGAGTCACCCATGGACTACCTGGAGACCAGTACTCTCGATCTGGAAGACCTCCAACATCGAGCAGCTCCGACAACGTCGCTACGGTCTAGGACATCATCTTCACCGCAGTCGCCAAGGCGCGGGTTGATGGTATGGACCGGACGTACCTGGAATGGAAAGACCGATATTTTCTTCGTGGACCCCGGACTGAAGGCTGGCGGTTACATCGAGCAACTCGAGAAGAATATCCTCCCCACATGTCGTCGCCCGTACCTTCTTGGAAACTTTGTACTGCTACAGGACACCACGTGGAATCGAAGGGCGTTGGAAAAACTCTCGCCTACTTGGAATGGAAGGGCGTTGAGTACCTAAAGAAGATGGAATATCTAAGTAGGTCACCTGACCTAAACCCCCTCAATTACCCGGTTCGGGCGGAGTTCAATAGGGTGGTCTACGGTGGCGGAGAAATCAACGATCTCGCTGAACTCAGGTACCCACCACTCACGGTCGGCAGAATCTCTCGATGGCGCTCCTCCAGAAGGCTGT